TGACTGGCATCCACCAAGTCTGTGTACAATGCCAGTGCTAGAATGTGATGAATGTGGACTGGAGAAAAAACATGGTTGAAAAAGTTGAAAATTTTCAACTTTTTCAACTACATTTTAAATGTAAAGTAAAGGAAAAGGGAGTTGAAAAAGTTGAAAATTTTCAACTTTTTCAACCCTGTTTTTTTCTATGAAGATACCCCACTTGTTTATCTTGATGTCTGATTGGCATTGATCCTTGAACATTCTGGTATTTTTACATTTGAGAGAATTTTGGATGGATGGATGGAATTTGCACTTTGCTCCATTTAGATTTGCAGCATTATGGTGCTAGAATATTTTGAGCTTCTCAGCAATGGCTGCAAAGAGGAATGGCCAGAAGGATGCCAAGGCCAAGGCATCGGCCAAAGGAAAGGCAGCTGCTGCCAAGGCAGCTCCTGCCACTTTGAGGTCTGTGAAGAAGGAGCCTGACTCCCAGGAGAAGGCCTCTTCTGACCCTTCAGTTGACAAAGCCGCCCAACAAGGATTCATCAACAGCATCAAGTATAGGGCCAACACTAAGAACGACCCTGATGCCCAGACCTTGTTGGAGGCCTGATGTTTAAGAATACAATAACAATATGCAAATTTTATTTTGCATTCAGACCCTAATTAGTAGATTTTGTTTTCCCATTTTTTAACCTTCATTTTTTCACATTTTGAAATTTGGTATTTTTCTCAAATCAATCTACTTTCTGTGGCCTTTGCAGGCCTACAATAAGATGAGCTCCACCGAGAAGAAGGCTCTGATTTCGAGATTTCATGCCCAGGGGGGCTTGAAGAATCTTTCTTGGGCAGCCGAGCTCAAGCAGGAAGCCATTGACTCCACCACTGTGACCTCCAATACTGAGAAGGGCATGTTCACTGCCTCCCAGATTTTGAAGTTCCATGGGCTTGTGGTTGGAGTCAATATCACCCAGGAGCGGCAGGATGTGGTTCTGAAGGAGCTCCTCAGAGAGAACCGGGAGGAGTTGGGCCTGGATCCCAACATCAACATCGATCAGGTGCATCCCACCATTCCTGAGCTGAGCCGCTACTACTACGAGAAGGCAAGCTCCAGCACCTCGACTTCGAATCAAGTTCAAACCACCTTGGAGGTGAGCTCCAGCTCTGTCAAGACGGACAGCTTGCTCAAGCCCATGATCGCTCATGGGGACGAGAGCACAGGTGTCCATGAGAATCCCGGCTACGCCGCCCTGCTGGAGACCATGAAGGCCTTGCAGTCTGTGAAGGGCAAGGTCGATAAAGAGCTGGCCCTGGCCAGGAGCCTTTTGCTTGACTTGGAGGCGAACGAGACTGAGGCATTTTTGCCAATTCAGGAAGAAATTGCCACCATTTTGAAGGCTGTTGACTCCTGGTTGCTTTTCTGTCGGAAGGCCCTCAACCAGGGAAACAAAGCCAACCCAGACACAAAGCTGGAGGAGCTCAAAGAGCTGGCCTCCCAGCTTGAAACTGTGAAAGGGAGTGGTGTCGTCCACCTGGATGGCTTAAAGGGCGTCCAAAAGAAGCTGAAAGCCTTGCTGTGAAGAGAACGTGCAGGAGGGAGAGAGAAAAACGACCTTGTCCTTCACTTGCTGACTGTGCAGCTTGAAATACAGTGCCAGCCATTTTCGAACTTTGTCTGAGTCATGTCAAAATATTTTGTGTTACAAGGAGAGAGAAGGAGAGAGAGAGAGAGAGAGAGAGAGAGAGACAGGTAGAGATACAAGAATTTGCATGCGCAGCTCCTTGCTCGATGTCATGTTCAGTTGTTAGATGCAAGCTGGTAAGCCATGGCATCTGTGTGGCACAAAGTGCTCCTATGGATTATTTTCTGGGATGTGACACCTGCTAGTGCCATGTTCCACAACAAGAAGAGTGGGGGCAATATTTTCGAGTCCCCCACCAAACGGTTGAGGCAGCATGTTCACACACTGTTTTTGGACAACAAGCTGAGTGGACAAGAAACCCAGCTTCTGGAGAACCAGATTGGAGCCTGTCATGTGCAAGGCTTCAAAGAGCATGCAGGCCCATCTGTCAATGTCAGCAAAAAGGCTGCCAGGGACATGCTGAGAAGATGCTTGAAGGGCACAAAGTGGCCCAAAATATATACAGCTGAAATACGAATTTGGGACGCCAAATTACAAGTGGAGAAGTACGCCAAGGTAGCACTGCTGCTGCCACATGAGCTTTTGCATGTTCTTGGCACCATGAACTCAGCTCAGACTTTGACGCAACTGGATGGTGCTGTGGAGTCTGTGCAGGCGCATTGCAGGAAAGCACAAAGAGCTTTTGGCAGCCCAACGTGTGGCTTCGGATTGTGGAGTGACGCTACTCCATTCAACTGGGACAGAACAAAGACTTTGGAAATTATTTTGATCAGTTTTCCAGGGCTAGAGCCTCCACATCATACAGTCCGAATTCCGGTCTGTGCGATTCCTCATGAGTTGGTCCTCAAGGAGAAAACATTTCAAGATATTTTTAGCATCATTGCATGGAGCTTCCAGTGCATGGCCATTCAATTCATGCCCAACCACAGGCATGATGGCAGCTTGGTGCGTCCCAGAAGACAATTGGAGGAAACAACGGCAAGGCTTACCCTTGCCTTGTCCTGGTGTTCTTGCTGAAGTGCGATGTGATTGGAAATGTCAAGCTGAAGTGTTTGGCCTTCCCAGCTGGCAGCAAAAAGCTGGCATTTGCTGCAAATGCTCTGCCGCCTTGGGGGACGTGTGTGAAGGACCAGCCCCTATGTCTGGCAGAAATTATTGAACGAGCTGTCACTGTGAAATTGTAGTTCTACGTGTTTAGACGGTGCAGAAACGAATGGCCGCTTATCAATCAAAGCCACGCACGGCGAGCGAGCGCCATCTTCTTCTTGTTCGGCTTCGGCGCCTTCTGGCCTGATAGCAAGGCCGATGCGTAACAAGCTGCTCAAACAGAATCCGGTCTTGCCTTGCGACCTTCCTCATCCGCCTGTCCGAGCCAGCCGAGCAATGAAAACAAACGACTAAACAGGGGGGTTGTGTGGGAAAACCACGACGTAACATGTTCGTGCAACACCTTTGTGCGGAATTGAGCGCGAGGCATCTCGCACGCGCTTCCGCTTCGATTGGCCCTCCTGGCTGCAGCGCACTGGCAGGCAAGCTGAAGGCCGTTGAGAAACATCCAAAAACACGGATTTTCAGGCAAGCGCACCTCATGATGTTGGGCAAACGTGTCTTCACACACCTTCTCATCATTTGCCAAACACGAAATTGTGGAACAGCGCCAACGCTGAGTTTGCAGCCCAGCTCCGTGTCAGTGCGCGCATCATGCTCCTGCAAAGGGGTTCCATGGGAGTGCACAGTCATGACGGAAGCTGCTGCGTGCCAACCCCAAACTGAGAGGGCCTGCTCCTCTAAGCTTTGGAAGCTGGCAATATCCACTTCCTGCACGCTGCACTGACAAACGCTCAAACTGCCTCCAATTCCAGGTTGGAGGCCTCCCACTTCTGGCCGCTCAAGAATTCCCAGCCTGCCAGGGAAAAAAGGAGCAACGCAACATTGGCTTCTGCCTGACGCAAAGCCACAAGGAAGCATTGGAAAAGGAGCTGGCGAATCGTATCTTTTGCCCAACGCAGGATGCCAACGACGAGCTCTTTGAGGAAGGGCTGCGGGATGCCCTGCCCCAGTTTGAAGGCCAAGGCTAAGAGCAAGGCCAAGGACGACGAACACACAAGAGGCCCGCCGAACCTTGTGTCCGTGCTCAAGAACCTTGACTCAAATTCAAACAAGTACCCCTGGCGGCCGTGCCAGGGGCAACGTCGCCCCAAGCGCATTTGAGTCAGCATCTACTGACAGACAGCTGAATTCATTTTGGATGTTAGCCTCAACATTTGCTCATATTATCATACAGCTGACACTTTTCAGTTTTTGTGGGATGGTCCATGAATCTGGGCTGTAGCCGACTAGGGGCTGCAATTCACGTAATCGCACTGTTCTGTCCTGGTTCGCAAAACATATCAACTGAGTATCATGTCATATTTGAAGCGAGTGCATCCTTTTCCAGCCTTGTTTGCAAGGTCCGGTCCGTGACAATAGCCAATACTTCACGCTTGGGCGGTAGTCGCAAAATCGATAATCTGGCAGCGCGTGGTTGTCACAGCTGCCAATTCGAAACGGGCGCAAAGCCCTGCGTAACAATGTACATATGTTGAAAAGCAAGGGAGGCGTGTTTTGGTTCCATACACCATTCGGCAATCGTCCTGCATATTCAATATTGGTCATTCAGTCCTTTATTTGCTCGCCCCATTTGCCCATGGGCACAGCCGCCTGGACAGTTCTCAAGCAATGCTTTCACCGTTGGAGAAGCCTGAAAAGCAAACCATTGTTATTGAATGCTAACCACCCTCAAACATCTGAACTGGCGGCCGTGCACCTGTCAAACGATTCTAGCAACTTATGCCGCAGATCCATCAGCCAATCGTAACAAGTCTCAGAAGAGGCACAGCTTCGTGAAGTTCCTGATCAAGCAGCACCTCGACCAGTATGATTTGCCCCCTTCCTTGTCAAAGTTTCTTTCTGCCTGTTAAGGGCCAGCATTTTTAAACAAAAGGCCATGAAAGTCGGCTACGCAAGCTTCGCGAGCGGTTCTGAGGCTTATGTCCTGTCGATGCAACTTGTTTGACTTGGATGGTGGAGAGAGGTGTATAGCAATTCATGACCAGGGCTTAGCAAGTACTAGCAACCCTAACATCCAGAATTTCAATCAAGGGCTCATGAACCGAAACGCGAAAAAGGGATGGTCTTTACAAAGTCCGACTTGCTGCATGGATTGGCGGGCATGTTTGGTAATGCGAAGAAGGTATGGTTCCCTGACATTTCCGACTTGCTGTGCGCAGAAAAGGAAAGGCGGACATCTTAATTATTGTGAAGACTGCCCAGCTTCCCTGCTTAACGCTTATGCCTAGAGGAAGGTTGTCTTCTTGTGGCTCAGAACCCAGCCAGGCAGCTTGTGAATCTATCGAGAGGGAGGTTTCTCGAGCACCAGAGGCCAGGGCCGAACAGTGAATGTTTGACTCCAAGTCACCAACCCGCGGTAGGTCCTGAAGCAAAAGCTGGATTACACGTTGAAGCAGGCTGGCTTTGAGAACCCGTGAGCAGCGTGGCAAAGCTTTAAAGCAGTGGAGCGGCCAGGCGCTCCAAAGTCAGCCCATGTTAAACATCGTAGTTTGGCCTGAAGGCTTGCGAGCTGCACTTGGGACATTCAACCATGGAGATGCTCAGATTGGCAACCAAACTCTGAGTGTCGGCGGTCAAGCCACTTACTGGCGTAAGCCGCCCGCAACCCAATTAAGCAAGACTGCTTGCTCCGCTTGACATGTCCCGTTTTGAGATGAGTGACCTCATCATGAACGAAAGGACAAGCCTTTGCTGCAAGTGCGCTGCTGGCTATGATAAGCATTCTGGAGCCCATGGCTGCCCTGGTCTACATCCTGTATTTCATCTATGCCAACTTCGATGTTGACTGTGCTTGGGCTTCAAAGTGGGAGGTTTGGCGCTACGTTGAGCTTGTGAAGGGCAACTTTGTCCAGATCCCCGCTGGCGCACGCCCCAACGCCTCAACAATTGGGGAGGTGGATGAAGAGCTGAAGGCCCGCTTCCATCAAGTGCCTCGCAGGTGGCGTTGATGACTCTGCGGTTTGCTTTGGCCGGGGCCGGTGAAATGTGTTGCCGATTACAGATCTTGCCATGGTCCATGCTGTGCTCGCATGGTTACATCCCGACACTTCTCATGCCTATTGAGAAGAGATGATCACGCTTGTGTTCTTTGTCTTATTTTCCGGGAAAAAGCGAGAACAAGGCGCATTGTTGCTGAGAAGCGCATTGATTTGAACTCAAGAGTCAGTGCATTTTGCTTGACCTTTGCCCTGTCACGCGCGGAGGTGAAGCATACGCCTTCCGACGGCTTTTTGCGGGCGTTGAGGCAAAGCTGCGCACTCGCAGCTTGTCCTGTCGCATGGAAATTAGCATGGGAGACGCATTGATGCCTTAAGCGTCGGACGCTCAAAGAACACAGGGAAACGCTGCCTGTTGTTGACGGCTTTGACCTCCTTCGTGGCCGGCATGGTTGAAGAGACGCGTTGCAGTGTCACCATGATCATATACGAATGCTCAGAAACCCTGGGTTTGATATCTGCGCAGCATGGCCATGGTTTGCCCGGTATCTTGTTCTCGATGTTTTACAGTCGTTTGGCTCAAGCCAATTTGGCCCTACAGGATTGGTTTGCGTCCTGCCAGTCGGGTTGGCGCCATTCCGCAGCTCAAAGTATGCCCACAGATCCAGAGCAATTGAACGAGGAGAACAACCGCCTGAAGAGAGAGCTACAGACCCTGCAGCAGCAGCGAGAGAAGGAGAAGCATGACTATGAGAGCAAGATCGCCTCCGAACGCGAACTTGGCAAGAACCACCAAGAGGCTGCAGCGCAGAGGATACATGAGCTTGAAGCCATGAAGAGCAAGATGGTGAAGCTGACCAGACAGCTGGATGAAGAGGTGCAGAAGAGAGACCAGGTTTCCGCCGAGTCGCAGCACCTGGAACGAAAACTTCAAGAATTGACAAAAGGCCCGGACTGCCTGTCAGGTGCATTTGCGTCAGTGAAGTGGCTTCGTCGGCCCCCCTGATTGAATCTAATAGTTTGTTTTGGCAGGTGCTGCGGATGTCCCACTCGGACACACAAGGGGTGCCGTGGCTGACGACGAGCAGGCGCTCAGAGAGCGTGGAAGCCAGGTGTCCACCAAACTGATGAGAGTAGTGGACCAGTGGATGCGTCAGCGGGATTTGCAGCAAGCGCTTTTGCGCGGGGCCTCCATCAACGACACGGCCTTCGCCACGCTTCTCGACCGAAGCCGCATGGTTTTTGAGGTTGCAAGGTTTCGCGCGCCGGGTGTTGCGTTTAACTGATCAATCCAAGTCAAGCATGCCAAATCAACGGAAAGTGGTCTTCCAGCTGAGGCTTGTGCAGGCTTTGAACGACTGCCCCTCCTTGCAGACGGTGGACTTGTCACAGAACTTGCTTACCATGGATTCATGCTCGGATCTTTGCCAGCTTATCACTACTGCTCCAAGCTTGTCCTTTATCTCCCTGGCGGAGAATTTGTTTTCTCTTCGCTCAGTTGGCTACTTCATGACTGCAGTCATGGAGCGCCAGAACACTAAGAAGCTGATGCCCTTGGACCTCCTGGACTTGCAAGGCCATGTTGAACATCGACACCAAAGTTTGCCCAACCGTTTGAATGAACTGCAAGCTGCAATCCGTTTCTCAGTTTGTATTGAACCTACCTTCTACACAAAGGTGGGTGGATGGCTTTTGGCGTGCTTGCGTGTGTTTGTGTGTCTTTGTGTCTGTGTGTCTGTGTAGGCGCTTGCTTGGCTTTGCTTTGCTTTGGTTTGCTTCTCTTTGCTTTGCTTTGCTTTGCTCGCTTGCTGGGTGTGGTTGTTTGCTTC